CAGCGTTAGGTGGGATTTGGGAAAGAATCCTTCCCTGTGAGGGACAGCACAGGGGCAATGGCGGCGAGCTGTCACAGGGCAGCGTTAGGTGGGATCTGGGAAAGAATCCTTCCCTGTGAGGGCGGGCAGGCCCTGGCACAGGGTGCCCAGAGAAGCTGTGGCTGCCCCATCCCAGCAGTGTCCCAGGCCAGGTTGGACAGGACTTGGAGCAGCCTGGGGCAGTGGAAGGTGTTCCTGCCAGGGCAGGGGTGGCACTGGGTGAGTTTTAAGGTCCATTCCAAGGTAAAGCATTCTAAGATTAAATGATACGTCTTTGGTTTTTTTTCCCCCCAATTTTGATTCTTCCTCCCTACCCCCATCCAATTCCAGCTTTCCTGAAGAGGCTGAAGTTTATTTATTATCTCACTTTTCAGTGAGAGTAAACACTTCTGTCATGTTCTCTAGAGCTCTGTTTTCTTCCTTTGTGTTTTATAGCAGGTAGAGGAGATTTCCAAAGCCTGATCCTTGTCTGAATTAGATGGTTGAAATCAAAATTGATAAGCCAAACGCACTCACTAGATACTCTGTTGTGACTTTTTTTTTTTTACGAGAATATTATGAACGTGGATTGAGTGTAATGGATTTGAATGTAAATGTTTCTTTGAGATATGTCTTCAGTTTTTTCAGTGAATTGGCATCTTTGGTCATGTAGAGATTTGGATTACTGATGTATGCTTCCATCACTAATATCATTCATTCTGTGTGGAAGTTTCCTTTATATAATAATGAATTCTGACTCTTATAAAGAGGCTTATTCCTCTTGGCTCATGATTTTTAAGAAATTGCATTCAGTTTAGTTTTAAATGTCCATTTAGGATTTCTACAGGGAGTCACTAATTACTTTAGGCTGTACTGTTTATGTCTAATGGGATACATTTATCTGCCTTATCCTGCTCATAGAGACTTACGAGCAGACATCAAAGTTGTCTTGGTTGTGACAATTACTGCTGTTCTCAGTGTGGTTCATTAGCCTTTTGGCATTATGGGTACCAAGATGGGGAAAGTCCATCTGTCTGAGAGCCCAGCTGGTGAGGTTGGTGGAGTGCTGCTTCTGAGACTACTAGTTCAATTCTCACCTCTATCCAAAGTCCAGATTTTACAACAGCTGCCAACTCTTGACTCTTTTGAGGGCCTTCTGCATCCAGTGCTGTGCTGTGGATGGTGGTGATGAGAAGAGCCCTTATATTGTATGAGCTTCTGCTCAAGCTTCTCATTCTTTATTAATTTCATGGTTTTTAGAAAAGAAACTTTAACTTATTTTAGTGAAAATTTCTGGATTGTTAAACATGATGAATTTTAAAGCAGGAATTGTGTAGTGATTTTTCTGGTATTTTTCTCCTGGGTAAGCTTTTAAACAGTCCAGAGAATATTTTTGTATTTGGATATACTGAACTCAGTAAGAAAAATGCAATCTAATGTTTTCACACCTGTTGGCTCAGGCTCTCATCATGGAGAGGGGGTGGGTGCTAATTTACACTTCCTTTTTTTTTGTTTTCATTCATTTTGCATTACTTGAATCTTGTCTATTGAATAATACACACAACTGTACGTAAATATTAAATGAGTAATTCACAAACATTTACACTGAAAGCTTTTCCATGAGCATCTTGAGAGTTTCTGTCTTCTCCAAACACTTCAGTTCCTTATGGTTGCACATTGCATTTACAGGCTCCAGATAAAAGCTCTGTTCTCCAGTAGTATTAGTAATTCTCAAAACTCACACAGATTTAGCTGGAAATCAAGGTAAAAGTAGTCAAAACACTTCTCAAAAGTAGAAGACTGTTCAAGTTTGTGCTGTCTTATTTGATTGAAAGAGCACATTACTTAAATAACAGCATGGATTTATGTAGGAAGTGAACTACTACTAGTTCATTTTTAATTTAATCTACTGAGTGAGTTAGGATGTTATGCAGTGTCAATCTAAGTCTGTTCTGTGTACTGCAAAGTAAACTCAAGTTCACCTTGAGAAGAACAGAAAAATAAAAAGTCTTCACAATCAAAAGCTTCAGTAAATCTTAGGATGAAAACAGTATTTTAGTGCTACTAATTGGTTTTGGACGAAGGGACAGCAAAGAAAACCAGCTGTGATTGAGACTTGTATGCAAAAGCACCTGACAGGAGCCAAACACATCAGTTTTATGCCCACTGCATAACCCTGCAATGTCATGTCTTTTGTAGAATGCACTAATTTTAAAAAGTAGTGTTTAAAGGACTTCCTAGCCATCTGCAGGGCTTTTTGATAATAGGAAGACAAATGGGGAACTTTGGAGCATAGTCTCTTACAAATAATTGTTCTGTTGGAGAATGAAGTACAGGGAGATGAGAGTTCATGCCTTATTTTGATGGTGATGTTAGAAACAGTAAGAGAAGTCCTAACACTATGCTCTGTTTTTGCAGATGTGTGCTTTTGTGGACCTGAACGAAAAGTGGGGTCAGGAAATTCTGAGGTACAAGTTTAGGTGTGTTTCAAATTGTTTTCTTTGTGAAGAAACACTATAAATGCAGACTGGTTTCTGTGTACTGTTCGAAAGGAGCTTGGAGGATTGGATTCAACCAAAAATCTCAACTGGAAAGAATTTAATATGAAGCTAGAATTACAGACTTTATGCTTGCTGTAGTACAGGACTAACCAAATACCTGCCAGAAGTCTTTTAGAAACATGCTTAGCCATGTTCTAGGAACAAGGGGCTTAGAAACATGGCCTTACTCTTCTCCTGTCGAACTGATGGGAGGGACTAAAGTTCTAAGTTGTTCTCAATGCTTTCTCTTGACTACGTAGAGAGGCGTCTGTAAAGTGTCAGCTAAATCAGCTGAAGAAAGCACAGGTTATGCCTGCAGGCAGGCACCCACGCAGGAAGCGCTTTTATTTTGCAAATGGCTTCTATTTGGCGATTTGGATTGTAGGTGCAGTGCAAGTAATTTAACTGCTAAGTGTTCTACAGCATTTATCTTCACTTCTAGGAATTTCTTCACAGAAACTGTTTTTGATCTAAGTGTAGAGAACATGATCCAGAGCTTTATTTCCTGCAGAAGTGTTTCCTCATTTGAATCCCATTATTATCCTACTCTCTGAGCTGCATGTTATTTTTGATGTCTTGTTGTTGCCAGCAGTTCAGATCAGGTCAAAGGACACTTTGAACTCTACTGTGTAGCACTCCAGAGGTCTGGTTGTGACATTGTGTTCCTTTTGGACATACCTTGAACATGTATGAAAGGCAAAGGATCATGCAATAAAAGCAAATTTCTTGAAGGAGTCATAAGTGAAAGTATGAATATTCATAAAAGACTAAAATAGAAGCCATGGTAGGTTTCTTCCACAAGTTTTCATTTGAAGAAGATAAACTTGGACACCAGCAATACTTGAAACTGTGTATCTGCAACAGCTACAAGTGAGGGATGCAGGATTTAAATTTTGGATATAAATAACATGCTGATTTTAGAAATTAATGTTAGGAGATCAGAATGTATTCTTGTCACAGTAAGTGTTATACCGGAGTTAGGTCACAGGAATATGATTGCTTTTGCTTTACAATGAATTGTACAACCATATAATTATACAATCACACAAATGCCTGCATTGTCAGACTCAGAGTGTGTTTTGGGTTTGGACAGTCTGGTTTGATGCTGACGTTTCAAATCCTGAAGTTTTGTTCACATGTGAAAACAAGAAAATGAAAAGAGGATAGACTATTAAAAATAGTACAGATAGTTAAAACTGCATTAAGATCAAATTTTTGGTTTTTCACTCTTCACTTAATATTGTTATGCTAGTGTTTAAAAAATGGTCCTGAACTGGGGGGAATTGAAATACTTCTTGAAACAGTATGTATAAACTCCATTCAGCATTACATACAAGTAGTGCATCACAGTCTGTTCAAATAATCTTAGGGCTCTGAAATTTCTTACACTTTATAAGTCTGAAGGCTAGAACACTGCTTTGTGTCACGTGTAATGTTACATTTTTCAGGAGATTAAGTGAGGTAAATGACAGTGGCTAGCTTTTGAGTATATGCAATGAAATAGGAACCATTGTGTTAAGGATTACCATTTTGTATTGCAAGATAAGTAGCAAAACTGACCTCAAATATACTGCTTTTATAACTTGCTGATGCCTAATTTTACTGTGGTAGGGGGAAAAGCCCAGTTTCTTCATCTAGTCTACATTTCTGTTAACTGTCAGTTTATATGAACCAGCATTTTTTCTTTTTTCATTTCCTCAGGATATATGACTCAAATCCTGAAAAAGCAAATTCCAGGTGGAGCACCTGGAATGTCTAAAGAATTATCAGAGTTGAAAAGCTGTGTCCCCACAGTTAGTCACTTAAATCCATATCTCCATGTAGATGTCATCATAGTTGCCTGGAAGAGAAAGCTGTAAATAACTTGAAGAGTGTTCGAATGCAAAATCATTAATTCTAGGCAGAATGCTGGTTTCTGTCTACTTAATTTCACTATCTGAACAGTTTTGTCAGTGTCTTCAGGTTTGTTTTATTTTGAAATCCCTGAATAGCAACAACTATGTTCCTGACAGGCCTTATTAAAATATCAAACAATGTTATAATATTCAGACATTGATAGTTACTGTTCCAATATGCACTATACTGTTCCCTATAATCGAGTCTCAAATCTTGAAAAAGAAAATTAACGTGTTATGAATGATGTTCTATTTTTTCCAATTTATCAAGCAACAATATTAAATTTACTAGTAAATTTTTAATAGTAACAACATGAATACAATCAAAGTATTGGAGATGACAATTAAAGTATTGGAGATGAATACAATCAAACTACATATATTTAAGAATATACAAAATTTGGCAGTAAGTAATTTAGTATAATTGAGGTTCGTATAAAGCATAAGCAAAACCGACCGGGGAGGGGCCCCCCTCCGACCGGGGGTCCGGGGAGTGGCTCGCCATTCCTCTCGTACCAAAGCATCCAGGCTAACAATCCCACTTATTGACTGTAGGCTACAGAAGGTTCTAGAAAACTCCTCCTAGTTTCTATTCCTGAAATCTCCGTCACTGTGTGTATATGGTGCATGCTCTATAATGGGTTAGGGGGTCTCTCATCCTTTTGAGGGTCTTATTTCCGATGAAGGCTCATCATCTTCATCAGTGACCGAGGTGTGACCTGCAGGTAGCACAGGCGCACTGTGTGACTGAGCAGATGTTTTCCATAACAAGACTTTAATTGAGTCCCATGCTTGGAATCATCCCATTTTGGCCCATTTCAAGGTCAAAACTTTCTATTTCTAGATGCTGCTTGTCAGACCTACGTCCTTCTACTATTCTTGTTTGACTGTCTTCCAACCTCCTTCTTCAACTCCCAACATCTGGAAATGTCCTTTGCCCTGTCTCACCCATCTCCCCCTCACTCTGTAACAATTGTCTTCTATTGATCTAAATACAATTTTGCTAATATAGTTCCAATTTAATTAGCACGAATCACATTTATCACAAACGCTTGTGTTTCTAAAAATAAAATCATTGAAGCAGTTTCAGGAGTGGAAGATCAAAATATAAATTGTAGGGAAATTACAGTTGTCTGATACTGAAAAAGCTCCAAAATTGTTTTGACTTTGTTTTTTCTTACAGGCCGACAAGCTGTAGCATTTATCTGACAACAAGAAATGAAGATAGTGATTGCAAGATACATAAAAATAGATCTGGCCTGAATGATTGGCTCATATATTTGTGTTTGGACTGTCATATGCACCTGTACCAAGCTTTGTGTCATTTAAAAATATTTATATTTTTTGAAGTAAACCGCAATGCATATTAGCTCATGTTTCTCAACACTTTGTTGGCCATGCAGGCAGCTGAGTGTTCTCTCATCTGTACAAGGTACCGGGCCTGTGTACAGCACTGAGGCTGAGCTACAAGGATGATTTCTTTTCAATAATCTCACACAGGCCTGCTAAACTTTAGCAATGTTACTAATAATTTTTAGAGAATTACAGAAACCCCTTCAGTGGCTGAGAATCTTTTTTGCACAGTATTCTTAATAAACAGAGTATGTAGTATACAAAAACTCTACAAAATGCATGCTTAAGCTATTAAGCATGAAATGCAGGTGTCTGCTGAGGTCCTTGCAACTTTACAATGCAGTTTATGTGTGAAGGGTGCAAGGACCAACCCAAGAACTTTCTTTTCTTTGCCTAAAGTCATAAGCCTATTGTTTACAAACATTTGAAGAAAAGACTGTAAGGTGTGTGATTTGTCTTAGTTACATTAATGCAAGCTTCTAGCTTTTATTTTTTGTAAGATTTTTCTTTTTTCCTTGGAGGAAGAATCTCTGCTGAATTCAGATCCTAGGTGTTCTGCTGGCTGCTGGCTGTCTTGTGTAATTTACTACATAGTGAATTTAGAGCTCTGAACAGATCTAGTTGCCTGTCCTTTTTCCTCTGAAATTGCAGGTCACGCCAAAACAACGGCTGGAACTTCCTACTGATGTGTTTGTGTAGAATAACAATGGAAAATATTTTTTTCACTTCTAAATTTACAATTAAAACAATCGTGTGTACTATATTGTCTGTATCTGTATTATTTATATACAGTCATCACTACACAGGACTAATTGTACAGAGAATAAAGCCATTGCAAGTGCCCGAGCCTGCCTTGCTGAGAAGTTAGTGACAAGTATCTTGTGCATTTCCGTATGGAAAATGCGTTTGTTCTGCATAAAGAGCACGTGCGGGTTGGCTATCCGAATGCTAACCAAAATAAAACATAGGAAACAATACAAAACAGAAAAGCACGAGACAAAACCGGGCGCTTTTAACTCAGTTGCGGCGGCCGGGCCTGCCCCAGGCCCCGCCTGGGCAAGATGGCGGCGGCGGAGGCCGGGCGGTTCTTCTGCACGGCGGGCCGCGGGCTGGAGCCCTTCCTGGCGCGGGAGGTGCGGGCGCGGCTGGGCGCCACCGAGGTGAGCGGGGAGCGGGGCCGGCCCGGCCCGGGGGAGCGGGGAGCGGGGAGCGGGGCCGGCCCGGCCCGGGTGAGCGGGGAGCGGGGCCGGCCCGGGTGAGCGGGGAGCGGGGAGCGGGGCCGGCCCGGCCCGGGTGAGCGGGGAGCGGGGAGCGGGGCCGGCCCGGCCCGGCCCGGGTGAGCGGGGAGCGGGGCCGGCCCGGCCCGGGTGAGCGGGGAGCGGGGCCGGCCCGGC